ACTTTTTTTAGACGTATCGGTGTGTTCGGTGAGGATGAGGACACTTTCGGTAAATCTTACTCTGGCCGCGAGTTCGACGACTTGCCGGTGTCGGAGCAGCGCGCGGCGTGCGCCAAGGCGCGTCTCTTCTCCCGCGTGGAGCCCGCGCACAAGTCCAAGATCGTTGAATACCTGCAGAGCATGAACGAAATCTCCGCTATGGTTAGTAACACAAAACAATAACATTATGTCATCTACACAAAAGCAATATTCAAAACATTAAATATTAGGACATTGCCGTCTGTTCTTCGTATTTACACCACACTACATTGTAAAACATGAAAATAAAGACGCGTTATCGGTTAATCGTTCCTTAATACGTTTTGTTTTTATTCTAAAACGTTTTGCGATTAAAATTCACATCAATAACTTAATATCAATAAACGATAAGGTAAACATAATCGTCCAGATTGTATCGACTTTTTAAATATCTTTAATGCAGAGGGATAAATTTATGTTTCCCATATTATCCTTGTGTAGAAACATCAAAGCGAATCTGACTTAATCATTTGGAGCAACTAATGGAAATAAATATAGATTATACAAAACGTAACTCACAACACAATTCGTTCGTATGATATTTATGCATGGAATAAATTTCTCAATATTTATTGCACTGCCAACAATATGTTTAGGTGGGAGTAGTGGCTGGTGTTATTTGATGTTTACATATTGCAACCGCTGAGAATGCTTTCCAAATTGTTTACGCGACTCGGCGAGCGGCCGGCACTGTTTATAAACTGTTTCGGTCGCTCCTATCAAGACATTATCCTCTATTCGATAACACAACATTTACTTAAATATCCTAATTATTAAGAAGCTGTTATTGAAATATGTTGCGAGTTTACAATTTAAACATTTTGACTTAACTTATACGTTAAAAACTAATAGAATATACTATTCATTTTTATGGGCATTTCTACTCAAGTGATATCAGAAAATCCTACCAAAAAGTCGTTAATATTTGTCGTTCAGAAACTCATGAGACACATTGATTTAATGATAATGTAGACTAAACAGATAAACGGATTCCGATGGAATTTGTTATAGATGTAAAGAATAGTCTGGAGGAACACATAGGCTACTCACTTTTGTTATTTTTAATTCCTCGCAGACAGATAAACGGACGAAAGCTAGTATGAGCCTAATTTTAGTCTCTTCTCCTTTCCACCCTTTTCTTAAGAGAGAAGGATGGGAAGGAAAAGTGGATTTGACGGCGGCGGACAGGTGTAGGAATAGAAAATATACTGTTTATTTGCGTCTCCTCTCCCGTCGATTAAGGGTAGGCAATGCATTTGCGGATATTTATGAGCTGTAGTCGCTTAGCCCTTTTGGCAGATTGGCCGCTTGCTCGTTTGCCACTTTGCAATATAAAAACGAAGGTATTTGATATGCCTGAAATTTTCAAGAAAGTCCTGTAAATGTGACCAAATGCGATGTTAACTTCAGACTGGTGACGGTGTGAACGACGCGCCGGCGCTCAAGAAGGCCGAGATCGGTATCGCTATGGGTTCGGGAACTGCCGTCGCCAAGTCCGCCGCAGAGATGGTGCTCGCAGACGACAACTTCTCATCCATCGTCGCCGCTGTTGAGGAAGGTGAGTTCAAATCAAAGAAAAATTTGTAATACATTCGATTTGATAAGTTTACAGCATAAAAAGTTAATAGTTACTTAATTACTTAAAGCTATTCTGTATGTTTATATCATTATATCATACAAATTATGACTTTGTTTAAGAAAAAAATAAGTATGAAGAATGAACGATTTATAGTGGTCTGAATTTAACATTGCAATTAATTAATAGTCATATAAAGTTACATCTATTAGTTAATTAAAATAATTACGATGTTTTGGTTTTTCGTTTTATGTCTTTTTAATACCTGTAATATTGTTGAAACTTTTCCTCATGTGTATTTTTCTC